TCTCATTGAAAAAGGCAGGACGAATGAGAGAGTGGCACTCTTGAAAGCCGAAAAGAGTCATTTCTCTTGGGTGGTAAACCAAATGAGAAATACAAGGCTCTGATACCAATTGTTAGGAAAAGAGTCGGCACTAAGAGGGGGCTGAATTAGTGCAGTAGTAAAAATTATGTCCGTTCAAAACTTCGTTGTGATTAAATCCATTTCCGATGAAAAATCATTTTGTAAAGGTATTAACTTTAAAAGCATATAGAAGAGCGTAGTGGATGTAAAGCAAGTTAAGTGGTTTGCAGAAAAGTAAATTGCATAAGAGAAACACAAACTAGATTTTTATAGTGGTTCGATCGTTGTGACCTACATCCACTTCGCTGATTCCTCTTTTGTCAAGGCCATCGACATCTACTATCAGTCTTCTTTCAATGGACGAAGACTAACTACCTTTTTACACCCCTCTTCTCCTTTTCACAGGTTTAGGAGACAACCTTTTACAATCCTCTTTTACAAGGTATCCCTCTCACATCTTCCATAGAACTCTCTCTAAGCTTTGGGAGGGGTGAACTCAACTTTCTAAGGTACAACTTTAGAATCATAGGATTTTACTCAATATTTCTTTCTAATCCATGCAAGAATAGTTAGGGTATTTATAGGCCCCAAATGGATTCAAATTTGGAGCCCAAAATTCAAACCCCCGAAATTTTAGGGTACGGGCAGTACCACCACCTGCGGCCTGACACTAGGCGGTACCACCACCCAGACTGGTGGTACCATTGCTCAGACAGTCTTGGAGACTGAGTCTGGGTGGTACCACTACCTAGACAGGCTGTACCACCGCCTGACACCGTCTCGGAGACTATGCCACGATGATTTCACTTGTTTGGTCACTATTTGGGCCTTTCTTTTAGCCCAACATAGTCGGGCCCAACTATCCCCTAATTGGGTTGGCCCAATTCTAATCCCTATTATGTGTTAACTATAAATTTTAAGATATTTACTAAGCTAAGCAAAATCCGTAAGTCTAGGTTTCTTCCGGTGAGCTTCTTGCGATCTTCCGACGAACTTCCAACGATCTCTCGGCAATGTTCCAGCGGACTCCCGGCAAGCTCCTGGACTTTATGATGATCTTTTTGGTGAGTTCCGATGAGCTTCTTTGGTAAGCTCTGGGACTTCTCGATCAATTCCGACAAAACTTTCGACGAATGTCCGGACTTCTAACGAACTCTCGAACTCCCAACGAAGTCGCATTCTTGACTCTGGGACTTCATTTTGCTTTATGCCTTGCTATCATAGTTAATCCTTCATATGTAAAAACACACTTCGATCTAGACAATTATTACTAAGCATGAATCATGTTGTCCGACATGTCATTGGTCCGTCGACGCTACGTCCGATTCTTCGACGCATCGTCCTCTCTTACGGCATATTGCTCAATTGGCCAGTTGACCTCTATAACTCCGATATCCTTGGCACAATATCTGCTCTTCTTGGCCCGATGCTCGAATCAATGGACCGAAGCCTTCTATCGATACGTCGACCAATCCTCTGGCCCGACGTCCAATCTTCTAACATGTTTTCCTCCGACCCAACATGATTCTTCCTGCTTTAATTATCTCTCTATGATCGAAGCATCTTACATCACTCAAAACACAGATCAAATCATAAACACTTATCAATTAGTTTCATCATCAAAATCCAAGATTCAACAAATCTCCCCCTTTTTGATGATGACAACCAATTGATGACGTAGTTAACCTTAACTCCCCCTATCAATATGCTATATTGATATAACATTGAATTCAAGCTGAATTCAAGTAATTACAAATTTCATCATGAATATTTACAACATGTCATCATGCATAACATGATCATACTTCTCCCCCTTTATCATCAATAAAAAGGAAAAGTTACAACTTTCAAGTATTTGGACATAGAGGTTCAAATCATTGCAATATAATCATAATCTTCAATTTTATCATCATGCACGCTAGCAAATTTAGCATTACTTTGCAATATGTATAATCACCAAATCATCATTAATTTTAAAGATGTGCAAGATTATAAATTATGCAAGTTTGTATTTTTGTTTCTTAAGATAGGCAATCTATCAATTTTTTTGGTGATGTTCAAAGATAGTAAGCTTTTTCTTCTCTTTTGAGAAGTCCCATTTTTCCTTCCTTTGCAAAGTGCAAAGTACAAGTTAGCAAAATTTTATATTATTTTACAACAGCTAGCAATTTGACAAGTGTTACTTCTCTTTGAAGTATGAAGGCTAGCAAGTTTTTTAAAAAATAATACAAGATAACAAGCTAGCAAGATACAATGTTTTACATGAAGTAAGCTAACAAGTTTTGCATCTTTTTGCGATATGTACATTTGTAATTTTTGCTTCTCTCTAGATGTGCTAGCAAGCAAGCAAGTTTTTCTCCTTATAATTTGTGAGCTAGCAAATTTTACATATATGAAAGTTGGCAAGATTTTTGCATCTATTTGAGATGAGCAAGCTTTTGCTTCTTCTTGAAGTATGCAAGCTAGCTAGCAAGCTAGCAAAATTTGCTCCCCCTTTGTCATTGTCAAATAGAAGGGAAGAATACAATGCTATAATTCTTTTCCCTTTTTATCAATCTTTACATCGTGATAAAGGTAAAGTATCAACCTTATTTCAATATGTTTGTGCATCGTTATAGTTTCAATTTACAACATGCATAATTTTAAAACATTAAATATCATCCTTATTCTATGCATGATACTAAAAATAAATCAATCATTATATCATACATAATACTCATAAGCTAGTAAATTTATATCATTTTAGAGCATCAAAACAATATCATGAGTATTTCATGCATTCATATCATCATATGTAAAATATCAAGAAAAATTAGGTGATGAGATATACTTCAAGAATATAAGGAATTATACAAAACCAAAAAATCATATCATGAAGGATGAGATCATGTGAATACCAAAAGACATGATTCATTTTGACAAATCTCATCTTAAATATTCAAAGAGAAATCTTAGGAGATCAAATAATAAAAGATATTCAAATGAAAGTTTAAGTCATGAATTTCGAAAAAGATATTCCAATGAAATTTTAAGTCATGAATTTAGAAAAAATATTTTTTTAATAAATCGTAAAAGGAAACATAGGA